TTAGAGTAATATTTGCACCTCTTGAGTGCTTCAGTTGAAAATCATCACCTAGTTTAACACCTGTAAAAGCTTATTTTCTTTTTTCTTTACAGGTTGAAATTGTGGAGAAGTGTCTGAAGATTGAGTTCCGTATTCCTTCTTAGTTTTAATTCAACGTTTTAGCTAATACAGGTTTGTTTGATAACTATTTTTCCTCTTTAGTAACGAAGTAATGATGTTATCTTTGTTTTGGGAATATGAAAACAAAACCTTTTCATTTCAGGTTTCTTCAAAATCTCAGCACATGAATACATGTGCTGGAGGCAGTTGCAGCAGATATGCATTAGGGATCAAACACCGGTTCTTTTCGTGGTGGTGCAAATGGGGTCAAACTGGATTTCAAAGTGGTTTCTGCTTGTCTAGACACAAATGAGGAAACAAGATCTGCACCACAAAGAGTTTCACTTCCTGCTGAGTTTGCCTGTCAGTGCAGCCTGGCAGGAAGCTAATTAGCATTAGCATGTAGAAACACTGTAAGATGTAGTGGGGGAGGGGCCACGGGTGTTGTCATGCATTTAACAAGTTATGTTATTCACCCCTCCCTTCATTCCACAGGTCTTCATTTTCTGTCTCTGAGGTAAGTCATTGGCAAAAGCAGCAACTCACTAGTCCTTAGTCATTCTTTCGGTTTGTCCACTTCATTTAGATCGGTGACACACATGAAGCCTTGCCTTGGCTTGTGATGCAGAGCCTGAAGACAGTCCTGAGGAGTAGCGAGATGAGGTTGCCGAGAAGTTGAACCGTGACACTGCAGCTAGCTGGGTACCGGGTTCTCGCAGTGTCCGGCAGATGAGTCCGTCCCCACAGGGACAGCGCTGGAACAGCTCCAGACCGTGGTTCCCCTTGCGTCGGTGTCGCGTGCAAACCTGTCCTTCACGTAGCACGGGCTTGCAGATGCGAGTCCAAAAGTGACGGGCGCAGCACAGACCGTCCAAGCAGTCGGATGAGCGCAAGCAAGGATTCCCGACCTGACCTGAAACAAACACACAAACCCTTAGAGAAACATGAAGGAGGCAGGGGGAAACATACTGCGGGTTTATAACACTAATCTCACTTCTGCCAGGGGATCCTTTGGCTTCCTGCCTCCCGCCTTTCTTTTTGGTGAGCGGGCTTAGCGCTCCATCAGTGTTTGTAATCCTCTCAGACACAAAGCCGTCCACATCAGGAACACAAATATCTGCCGGAGGAAGAACATAGAGATAATACACTTGATAAAATTTTAATTATGAATAGTTTATTGTCATTAATGTTAAACTGAAGTTTTCTGTAGAGGAGCATCTAAACTGTTGCTGCAGCGGTTGGTGGGGCAACACATTGTGTCCCTGAGGCAGGGCCTCTTCCTTCTGCGGCAGGTCTTGCAGTGGGAGTGGGCAGGACGTCTTGAGGAGGTGTGACAGTAGTTCCCCTCTCTGCACTCCAGGTCACTCATGCACTGGTAGACCTGCAGACAGACACACAAACATTATTACAGAGTAACAAATGAACCTGGTTTTCATTTTGTAATTTAAGGTGATCTTTTCGTACTGGTGAAAAATTAGCATGAAATAACAAACGGAGGGCTTAAACTACTCTGACTTGCAGTGACAGTTGCCCTGAGCCACTTTATGTGAGATTTATACTTCTGGACTAAATCTACGCCATAGGTAAGTCTTAACTGCAGACCTCTCTGAAAAAGTAACTACATGTAACATAAACACAGTCTTCAAATATTGTGATTGGCCTGAAATCCGAATATGCATTTCTGGCTAGTTTTCCTCTGATTGTCAATGGATCATAAATGTCATCGACTCATCATAGGCTTGCATAGGCGACATCATAGGCTCAACGCAGAATTATCAGCGTTTAATTTTGTAGCACTCTTCTAAAGTACACCTCAACATTACAACTTAAAACTGTACATTGGGACAAAACAGTCCAGTTGATAAACCAAAGAAACCTTTTATTATCCTTCCCGATGATGTTGAAAGCCAAAGAAATTTTAAAACACCATCATAGTTTTTTTTTATCATGAAAGCTTACAGCATCATAACAGCTGAGAAATGCACCTGAAACAGTATCCGGCCAATGAACTTTTTGAAACAATGTGATGTTCTTGATGATAATGTTTAGAAACATGTAAATATTATAAGTGACTGGTAACCCAGATGGTACCTGTAATTTGAAAGTGAAAACAGACTTGTAATATTCCCACCAATCAAACGTTTGAAACAACAAATAAAGACCAAAACTTCTGTCAAACTGAAGCAATGTAACCAATAATGTTCAGTCAATAAAGCTTTTGAAACATTGCAACAACACTGCAAATAAACATTTCTCTCTCTCTCTCTCTCTCTCTCTCT